AAAAAAAAAAAAAAAAATTGGGAGAATTAATATTTTATTTTAACAAGATTTTTAAGATAATTTAAGTCGTGCTATAAACTTAAAATTTATTCCTACAGAAAAAGTTATATTAAATAAATTGTCTGACAAAAATATGTATATATATTTTTTTGTATGAGTATAATAATAATATTCGCAAACCTGTTGTTAGTATAAATTTACTTCTAAATAATATTAATATTAACAATATAAATAAAAACTAATAAGAAATAAAAATAGATTATCGAATGTCAAATACAATTTTGTATGACATTTAATCTATAAAGTTTTATTTAAATTTGCTTAAAACTGTATTCAAACCAGTAATACTTAACATTCATTTCAACATTTAATTAGTCAAAAATTTACTACTGTATAGTACAGTTTGTAAAAAAATTATAGTAATTTTTTACATTTCATACTTAATAGTTTACATTTGTATTAATGTATAGTAATGTTGCTTTTAAAAAAAAAATTAATATGTTTTATACTTTTTTTGGCTCAAATGAATGAAGAAGCACCAAGAGTTTTAGCAAAAGGTAGAAGTTCTAATGACGCAAATGTCATTAAAACATTTTTTAAAAATGTACCCTGGCAACATTTAAATGATGTTACTAATGTTAAGTATTTAAACAAATATTATAAAATAGAATATATTTTAGAATTACCTTTTAATCGTAAAACTTATGTAAAAAAATTAAGAATTGCCACTATATTTCTTGGTTGTTCATATGCCAACGATTTAAAATACATTTTATTTATGTTAAGAAATGTAACTAATTACTGTAGAAGTTTAAATAACCACAAAAAACTGTATAACTGCTCTATAGAAATAATAAACAATGCACTTAAAACGATTCAATTGGAAAAAAAATTGAAAGGGGCTATGGATGTTATCGATAGTTATCACACTACACCAATGAAAGAAAATAATTTTGTTCATTATTTAATGAGTTCATTTTTTGATACTTATCATTATATTAAAGAGCGATTAAACGCATGGCCACCTTCGCAGCACGATTCATCAAAAACAATATTAACTTTAAAGGTACTCTATAAATATTTAAATCAATATATTGGAATTATAGAAAAAGAAATTGAACCATATTGTACTATAAACTCCGTGGATCTAAGCTTGTTGTGGCATGATTGGTACAAAAATAACAAAACAGAAATGTCTCAACATCCAAACGAAAATTTTTATCAATTTATTAATAAGAAAGTTAGAGATAAAATACACGAAACAGTTATAAATAAGTTTTTTGATTTAGGTTTTCTATTTAATGTTCAGACCGAAAAGGTTTCTATACCAGATATTTTGTTAGATATTAATAAAGGTAAAAATTTTTTTTATACTTGTGAAAAAAATATCATTATAAATCAAATAAATATAAATAAAGCGTATCTAATTCATAATATTTTATTTAGAAATCAATACAAGTAAATTAGCTAATAAAACTATCGAGTTAAACAAAATTTCCTATGAATCAGGTATTTTTATTATTACTCATTGAAATTTGAGCGTTTAAATGTTTTAAATATTTTAACTTTATTCATTTTTTAGTAGGTAATAGTCAAGCTAAAATAGACGAAAACTTCAATTCAGAAAAATCATTTCCGTATAATGAAGGTACAAATTAGTTTGTATATTTTTTTATGATTAATTATTTGAATTTTACATGTTAAATTAAAATATTCTTTATTGTTATGGTGTGTTTGCTTTAATTTAAAACTCAACTACATATTAATTAACTTAAAAACGCCAACAGCTAATAAGGAAGGTATGTATAAATTATTCATTATTAATTCTGATACATATTTATTGGTCAACTGTTTGACCCATAACTTATTTTTAGAAAATCAAAAAAATACTGAAACTGCGGAAGTTTCAAAACCAGTTCAGATTGCTTTTATGACTAACGGTAAACCATTTTATACGTTTTTTTGAAGTTAAAAAATGAACACTTATTTGTAATTTACAACTTTTCTAACACTTCACTTGGAATTTTTTCAATTTTTTTGTTAAAATAAAAATTGTATTTTATGTATAAATAGTACTTAATATAATGTAACTTTTAAATGGATTAATTAAAAAAGCTCAAATATATCAATATTTAATGTGCTTCTGTCAAATCATAGTAATTATATAAATATTTTTATATTCTAAAATTACAAATCCGTTTTTAGCTGAAAAGATATTGGTTTTATTATGATGAATTTTTTTTTTGTCTATTACCACTTTTTAAAAGCTCTCAACGAACCGATTTCTTTCAACAATATGTCAAAAGATCACAAATCGTATATAGTCGAAGACATTAACCTAAAAATTAATAAAAATTCACTCGTTTCCTGTATATGGGGGAAATCCCTCAAAAATTACAATATTAAAAACCCAGCAGAGGGGGGTCGCGACACAGTGGTGACGTAGCATAGTCGGACCAAGTATAATGATATCTGACAGTGATTAAAATCACTATAAAAAAAACGCTTCGATGCAAATCTTTAGATAGTGTTTAATTTTAAAAAATTGATGGATTATTCCAAAAGTTACATGATGTGCTAGTTCCTTATTAATATCCTGATTAAGATAAAGTATGTCGAATGAAAAAAAGAGATTATTAAAAAATATTATTTCCCATAGAAAAATTGTGTTGATCCATACACTTTTCAATAAGTTACAGCATTATAAAGTTAAAAATGTAAAAAAAAAAATTGAGAATTTTTACACAAAAATAACATTTGGTTGCCATTATTACCGTGAAGAACAAATTAAGTCCCAAATTTTTTTTTACCATAATAAAGTATATTACATTAGCTTTAATTTAAGATATATATAATAGTGTCAGATTTTCCGGAACATTTTCAAAAGTTAAGTTGAAAAATTCTACTTTCTATTTGAACCTCCCTCGTATATAGGGAAATGGTCCAATTTAAAAAAACAGTATGTCTAATGAAAAATGTATATAAATATTACTTCTCATAAAAAAATTGTATTGATACATACATTTTTCAAAAAGTTATACCATAATAAAGTTAAAAATGTAAAATACAAAATCGAAAATTTTCACACAATAATAGCATTCGGTAGCCATTTTCACCGTGAAGATAAAATAAAGTCCGAAATTTTTTTTTCCATGATAAAGTATATTACATTAGCTTTAATTTTAGATATATATAAAAGTGTCAGAATTTTCGGAACATTTTCAAAAGTCAAGTTGAAAAAGTTGTCATTTTAAATCCCCCCCTGTGGGCAGGTTTAGTGTCAGATTTATACAAAAAATACACCAAATGATAGGTAAGAACATTATGCATCTATTAAAAAAAAATTATATTGGTTTATTCAATTTTGAAAATGTTATGGCAATTTTTGAGGGTAATGTCTACGACTAGATACGATTTGTGATCTTTTGACGTATCATTGAAAGAAATCGGTTCGGTGAGAGCTGAGAAAAAGTGGTAACAGACATAAAAAAAAAAAAAACACATCATAGTAAAACCATAATTGCCATAATTTTTTTAAAATTGAACAAGTCAACATCAATTTTTTTTTATAAATACCTATGTATTTACTTATCATTTACTATATTTTTGTGAATATTTGATCCTTTACCTGCCCACAGGAGGGATTCAAAATGACAACTTTTTCACAAAAAATTAACTTTTGAAAAAGTTTCGGAAATAATGACTATTTTATATATATCTTAAATTAAAGATAATGCAATGTACTTTATTATGGAAAAAAAATTTCGGACTTTATTTCTTCTTCATGGTGAAAATGGTTACCGTATGTTGTTTTTGTGTGAAAATTCTCTATTTTATTTTATATCTTATATTTTTTACTTTAAAACGCTATAACTTTTTGTAAATTAGATAAAGTACGACATACTTTATCTTAATCAGGTTATTAACGAGGAAATAGCAGATCATGAAGTTTTTGGAATAATTCACCAAGTTTTTTTTGATAGTGATTTTAATCACTGTCAGATATCATTATACTTGGTCCTACTATGCCACGTCACCACTGTGCCGTGACCCCCATGTACTAGGTTTTTGGCATATTAAATGTATTACAAAGTATGATGATATTGAAACTATTGATAGTCAAAAAAATCACACCCTAAGTTTAAAAAATGTCTAAAATACGAATAACTGTGAAATATAACGATATAATTAATGAAACACAAACAATTTTCACTGAATTTTTTTTTCGTTGATTTTTTAAATCCATTTTATATTAAGAATTCTCGCGCGTTGCTATGTGAGATGCAATTATTTTTTTTCTGAGTATTTTACTTTCGAAGCGTTTATCTATTTCTAAATGTTGAGATATTCTTGAGGATCTTTAATGCAGTAGATTCCCTTTATTTTCTGCATCTATATCACTGATATCTGATTGCATTCATCCGCTTTTAGTAATGATTTCTGACCTTAGGGCAATAGTGTGCTTTTCTCTATATATTGTAAGACGTAATCCTTTAACGCGTATCCAAAAGGTACGGGGGTTACTGGAGGAGATCATACAAGGATAAAAAGAAGTATATATAGAGTGTTCAGCAAGTAAGGAAACGGGATTCTGTTGTTCTCATTGTGACAATTGACAAGTTTCCTTACTTACTGAACACGTTGTATAGTCTAACTAATAATGTAGTCAACATTGTTATTCTATGTATCACAAATACAGCAGCCCATTTATTAACGTCACAAAGAGAATCTAAATATATATATCAATAAATTTATCCTTTACAATCAATTTAATTATCAAAGAAACAAATTCTGAGTCAGTTTAACCGTCACAAAACAAAATAGCAATGGAAACATAGAGAACCACAATAAAAGATCGTAAGTAACTAGTTAAGACGATCATCGGACGAAACAGAATAGGTACGATATTGTATCATATCTTCTACTGAAGGGAGTACTTAGTTTTTAAGAAGTTCGTTTTAAAAAGAACTTATTCCTAAAACGATTTTTTTATAAGAACGAAGCTAGGAACTGCTTCTTTTAAAAATTAGGGAACAAGAAACGTCAACGAATTCATTCAAATGAGAAACATAAACAAATCTTACAGTTACTTTAAATTTAGTGCTTTAAATTTTTTCTTTTTGTTTCTAGGTATAATAAATAAAAATATACTCTTAAGTTGACTAAATATTAGCATAAATTATATGTATATATGTATAAATATATGACTAATATGATGTATCTGCATCATGTCTCAGTAATGTTATTAATTATTTATAATATGAATATACTACTCTGATATAAATAGTTTTAAATACAGTTTCAATAATCTTATACAGAGTGTTCAGTAAGTAAGGAAACAGGTCAATTGTTCAAACGAGAACAATAGAAACCCGTTTCCTTACTTACTAAACACTTTGTATAAATTATTATATTAAAAACGTAATAACTTGAAAGTATCGGATCCTAGTACAATATATATTTCGCTTACATGGATTCCTATATAAGAGTTAGGAGAGACTCACAAGGGGAGGTCACGGTGATGGAGTCACCGATTTTCATAAAATTTATATAGATATAATCTATATTGAATACAGAATCAGACGTATTTGGAATTTATGTCAATGCCCTTCCTATGTCGAGAAAATTGACTTTGAAAATTTTTAATTAGCTTAAATAGGGTCATTTTTCTTCCGATGAATAACTCTTTTTATGGTCCAGTCGACAATACGTGATCTTATAACACGTACAGACTCGGGGATCGATTCTCATCAACTGATGACATTTGTTGCATTTGTTTTACTGTTTTCTCTTTGAAATATTAATTTTATGTAATATTTGAAAAATTTTTTATACAAATAAATAAAATCTATTTTTTATATTAACTGGGCAAGAGTATATAAATTATAAAGGAGAGAGATTTTTGAAAGGTTTAACGTTCAGTGCTAGGTTTTGCGTGGAGTTCATATTTAATGAAGGAATAAAGTTAATCATTTTTTTTTCATTGAATAAAATTTATTCATTTAAATTAAATTATATATATTGATTAATACTTGCGTACATTTAAAACTCTTAAATTAAAATTTTTAGCTTCGATGCGAAGCGGAGAAGGTATTAATTTTACTATGATGTGTTTTTTTTTAATTTTTTTTTGTGTCTGTTGCCACTTTTTCTTAGCTCTCACTGGACCGATTTCTTTCAATGATACGTCAAAAGATCACAAATCGTATCTAGTCGAAGACTTACCCTCAAAAATTGAAAAAAATTTCCTCGTTCCCCGCAAATGGGGGAAATATCCAAAAAAATTACAAATTTAAAAATCGCTAATTTTCGAAATTTTTTCACTTTTTTTTCTTAAAACTTCCATAACTTTTTGAAAAATCAACAAATCAACATAATTTTTTTTATACTAAAACCTTAGATATTTACCTTTCATTTGATATCATTTTTTTGAAAATCTATCACTTAACCTGCTCATTGGGGGGGATTTAAAATGGCAACTTTTTTACAAAAATTAATTTTTTCAACTTAATTTTTGAAAATGTTCCGGAAA